GTCGTGTATGTGGAGGAGGTGCTAGGGGAGGTCAGTGGTGGGTCAGGGTGGGTGGTATGTGTGATGGGGCCCAGTCGGAACTCAGAGCGGCAGGAGGAGTGTTTCCGAGGTTGGCCGCGGGGCGACTGACTGACTCGCTCACTCACACCACCGCGGTCTGCCTCGCCTGGGTCGATACGCGCACCCACCCCACCCCGCCCCAACCTCAACACCCCCGCCCCCTCACCCCTCCTCCCTACTATCCAACCTCACCAAGGTCGTCCAAACCCCACTATGGCCGCTCCCCACCCATCCTCCCCACCACCCAACCTCACCAAAACCGCCCTAACTTCCCCATGGCCAATCCCCACCATCCAACCTCACCCCTCCTCCCATCCCTACACGTCTCTCCCCCACTTCCACAACCAACCCCCACCACTACTTTCTTCAACTGACAACCTCACAATCAACCACAATTCTTCACCATTACCACCACCACCATCAATCTCAACTACGTCAATTATCATAACACCTAAATTTACTCGTCGAGTCTCGGTGCAATTTTACCGCCATATTAACATCCACTAACAAATAAATTCACCCAAACAACAACTTTTAAAACTACAACGATTTTTATTTTGTCTTTGGCGCGCGGGGAAAAAAAACATTACCTCACGATAATAATTAATACCTCATATGAATTAATTAATTTAATGTATCGATGGTATGAATATAATGTTATTTGTGGAATTAATAAATCTCCGTGATATTAATATTTATGAAGAATTATGAATTTTAATTATCATACTTTACAAAAACGTTTGGGATTTATTTATTTTTTTCATTTACAAACACAATACCAAGTGAGGCAATGTTGTATATAAACAAAACTACAGAAATAACTAAACAACCAGAGGCCAAGGGTGTATATAAACAAGGCAACAAAACCCCATTAACTCGACGCTGAAAAGGCTCCAACAATATTCCTTTTACTGAATATTCCCAGAACTGAACAATTGTCCACGAAATATATTAATTAATCCGTCACAAAATTAAATTAAATATAGCTGTATGTGAGGAGGATGCTGGATAAAATTAATTGGGTTTTATATTTAACTGATGGTAAAAAATTAATAATGGTCGGGCTTAAGTCACCCGTAATTAATCAAACGTGGGTGTAAACGAATTGGAACAGACAGACAGACGGACAAGCTCATATAAATCAATAAAACCTTCCTTCTAATCACACTCATGACCAAACAGCCATACAGACAAGAGGAGGTGATTTAATAGAAGAATTTTGCTGTCTAACTGTGCCGTCATTAATCGATCTGCCATTATCCACATCAACACAAATAATAATAATAATAATAAAATAATAATAATAAAAATAATAATAATAACCCCAGCAGAGCAACAACAACAACAGCGCGTGAAGCCACATAAATTTTCTCCTCACAAATTTCTTAATCAAATTCCCCGCCATCTGTCAGCCGCCAGGACCCACATTCAGAAAATCTCGTAAGATCACAATTCCGCCTAAGTTAAAACACGATAACACACCAAACAGATTAACTTAAACTAAAACACAAAAAATAACTTACCAAAAATAACAATTATAATCTTTACTTTAAAATAGATACGCTAATTTAAAATCCATCAATTGTGAATGTTAATCTTCACTCTCAACTTGTGGTGTAAAGTGTATCTTGTTAAGGTGAAGTCTTTGTATAATTAGAAGTTCGCACGTTAAATTATTGCCCTGGCTGGTGATATAAGATTATATTTAATTACACAAGTCCCGTTACAACTTTACAACTGTCGACATTTCCATATTCAAAATTACAAGACCTAAGTTACCAACATCTTATAAGTGTCGTCGCCCTTAATACAATATTTTTTTCAGAGGATGAACAACACCATAACTTTAAAACACATTACCTTCTCATATTTACCAAACAACTCAATCTTACGGAAATAAATAAAATCTCTACTTCCATTAAGCCTTTAGAAAACTGTATTAAACCAATATATCCTCAACAAGACGGTAAACAAACACAAGGCGGGGCTATATTTGACCACATTCTTGTTGTAACCGGGGAAAAAAAATATGCCTCTACTGACACGCACGCACACCAGGGTTACGTCACTCACCAGGTATAGAGTCAAGTCACCATCACCACCTGTTACAATATTCTCACTAAAATACTTTATCTTCATCTCTTTCTTACCTAAAAACAACAAAATTCCCTCCTGATGATAGTCTCAGTTATATATCGACGCCATACAGCTACCCTTGCGTCATAGCTTGTCTGAGGCTTTAAATAACTGTCTTGGGCTATATATGGTTAAATCGAGGTACAGTTAGTCAGTGTTTGTATATCTGTACTGACTGTCTGTCTGTCTGTCTCTACTGTCTGTCTGTCTGTACGTGATGAACTGCTGTGAAGGGTGATGATTTTAATGGATTTATTATTTATTTATCTACATACCTGTATCTATCCATTCATCTATCTACCTATCAATCAATGTATCCGTCCAACCATCTGTCTATCTAATCGCGTCCTTAACAAGCCACTTCACGTACGGACCGTCGAGAATGTGGCTTCACCTCTTCCCCCCCACACACATATGGCGTCCTTCCCCCACACACTATGACGTAATTGTACTTCTATTCTTCTCTCTCAAAACACTAATTAACTCTGTTCTCATATATTACTTACAAACACACGAAGATATTGATATTTCACTTAATAACGGGCTAGACACTTAATTATATTTAAGTAGCAGTGTTTTTGTGGCTATACTGAACGTGATGCAGTATGACTTAGGGGTTTTTTTTTTTTAGTAAATTCACTTCTTTAAGGCACTTATTAAAGACGAGACACTTATTTACTATTACACACTTAGTTTAGAAGATGCACTTATTTACCACGGACAATTACTGTACTACGAAAGACTTGTTGAAGGAGACTTATCAAAATAAAAATGGAATCGACTCTCTCTCGTCCCCTTCCCTTTCTTCCCCTCTCTTCTCTCACAGGTCTCTCTTCTGTTCTCTCTCGCCCAGAATATTTTCCAGGTCGATCTCTCTCTCTCTCTCTCTCTCTCTCTCTCTCTCTCTCTCTCTCTCTCTCTGGTCTTCCCGGTTCCCTCACACAGATAGCAGATGTGACATAACGCCTCAGACCCACAGTTCGACACGACAATTACCGCCTTCCACTCCACTCCTACAGATGATAAAACTGACGATAATGTGACTGGTAAATAGTGCCCCTGTCTGCTATAACGACCCAAGCCACTCAGAGACAAGTCCTTCACTCACAAATACCAGAGAAATTAAATGAAAACGGCCCCAAGTACATCATTTCCTAGACCAACTTTCCTCCTAACACTCGTTAATGAAAGCCAAAGTTAGTCACCTCAACACCCATGATGATAAAACACACAAAAACATAATCCCAATTAAAAAACTTTCCCACACACCTGCCACAGTTCCCAGGTACCCACAGGTAATTACGTGGGAATGAATGAATCTTCGGTAAACAACGGCACAGTCTGTAGTCAATGTCTACTTACTGTTAGGGGTATGTTGGTTAAGGTTAGGTTAGTGTTAGGTTAGTTTAGATTAGCATTAGGAAGTTTAATTACCAGGTGAAAGAAGCGAGGGTGTCTAAACATCATGAGAATTTCCCACATCTTATCAGATGAACCAATAAACGATATTTACTTTATCTTGGAATTTGTTTATTCTGTATGGCATTATTTGATTCCCTAGAACATGTAATATATTATATCCTAATTTAGAGTAGAATAATATCAACCTTATTACTCATTACAATATTCAAGTTTTTCTTCCAATACAATTTCAAACATGCCAGAACACACGCACATGCACACACGCACACACACGCATGCACACGTACACATTCTTACCAATCATTGTCTCTTTCATCATTCTCTATTGTGTGGCCTATGATGGTGACCTGACTGAACCTTCACTCACTCACACAATCATCATCACATCAATCAATACCCTCTCAGTATACAGTACAACACACACCTGCATCTCAACATTTACTACTGCCTGTAAAATCTATGTACTGTACTGTAAACCTTCTTTGTCAATGTACATTCTATGCCTCCAGTGTCTATATACAGTACATGTTGAATTAATGTAAACTTGTTTTAGGATTTTACTGAATATCTCTCTCTCTCTCTCTATAACATCACCAAATTTATTCTATGCCTGTACTCCCAGACTATATATTCCTCAACAAATTAAACTAATCTCTAAACAATGGTCATCTGTTCCATCTTCCTTTATCTCACCACCAACAGAAAAACTTTACTGCACAAACCTGAACAATCAACCATCAATTTCCAACAATGTAAGAGCACAGTACAACACATCACAAAATGCCAAGACAGCAAATACGATCAGTAAGAGTAACACATCTCTAAACCTTGATATTAATGACGACTATACCTGAAAAAAAAAGTTTGGTTGCCTTCAGTCTAACACACACACACACACTCCAAATGCCATCAATATCCAGGTCAAAATTGATAGTTAACTACAGTATCACCATTAACATGACATGATAACAGTTACTGATAGGCGTCTTGTCGGTACAGTACAGCATTAATGCGTAAACAAACAAGTCGTATAAATATCACTGGTGACGTTTTTGCATATATACGAATACAGTAAATCATATGGCAGATGCTGACTTACCGTACATGACCGTATAGTATTTCTTAAACTTGCATGAAGATATACATAAAATAATGAATTCAATACAAGTAGTTCAACATTCACAGAAATAGCCTCAAATACTAAACAATATCTGCAACACAAAAATAAAAAAAGGGAAAAACAAAGGCCACAAAAAGCAATACTACGACATGCTATAAACAGAACAATAAGTTACCTTCACTTGCATGTAAATAACCTCAATGCAGTTTAAACCCTCCACAACCATCACCAAACAGAGACAAAAACAGACGAGAGTGCTTACTGTCTGAAGGAAGCCCAGCGTCGAGGAGGGATGATTTTCTCCTGTGCGCTATTGAGGAGGAAATAATGAAGGATTGAAAACAAGGCGAAGATAACGGATATAAAAAAAGAACAAAAATAATTCCTGTAACCAATCAATTAAAACTAGGAGAGACTCGAAGCCGGGCACAAAGTACGGCTCTTGCCATCAATTAGGAGTCGCTAGGATACTAAGTCTATTCCATGCTTGAGGTTTATTACTCCTCTCAATCTAAAAATAAATAAAGTAAGATTTCTAAAAGACTTTAAACAAGAGTGAAATCAGTGCCAAGTAATATAACTATCATCTAATGAAGAGATCTTAGTAAACTGTTCAAGATGTTTAAGGTTTTATGAATTCTGAGGAAAATTATTTAAGAAAATCATTCATTGTTCTTTGAAGTTGAAAAATATCTGAATGAACAAAACATGATTCCAAAACAGTCATGAAAAGTTGAAATTTATTATCCTCCACACACAAAAAAAAGACATTTCAATAATCAAACCAACACAACTACGCTATAAACCACTCTCAAAGCTTTGTATAGATGCTGTAAATGCATTAAAATAAGTCTAGCGTTAGTTTATCTTAAAGAGGCATTTCAAGTTTTAAGCATCCCCGTATTAACAAGAGAAATTATGGAAAGTCAGGTTTATCACGATGCAGAAACCCTTTATCTCAGCCATGACCAGCCCTTATCACACCAAACACATTTATAGGTTATTAAGTTAGTCAAGGGGTGTTAGGTACATATCTCCAGGAGTTACTGTAGCTTCCAACTTGGGCAGTTTTAGGACCTTGATTATAAGTTACATTTTAATAATTCCAACCCAGATTATCTATTTTATATTTCAAAACTTATAAAAATTTATGAACTATGCCTACAATTTGAGCAACTAAAAGTCCTACTATTAAAGCTACATTTTAAAATTTATCAAAGCTTTTATCTCTGCTACGTCAAACACTTGGGGACCGCTGAAGGACAATATATACAAAAATGTCTACAGATATATTTGATCTAACTATCTAGTAATGTTCACTTCAGCAGAAATGTCCAGCAGAAAGTCAAATAAGCCATCAATCTTCTACACGACCAATGACTAACTAAAAGCAGGAAACTTTTAATATTAAACTTGATTACATTTTGAGGCTTCATTCCTCAATAATGTGAGTCAATAATATAAGGAAAAAAGCAAGAAATATTATGGGACTATGGATTATTGTAATTACTGTTTAAAGACATCAATAAATGTGAATCGCCAAATGCCAATACAGTAACTTGCTCATATTGGATACATCTTTTTACGTTCCTCTTGTTGGTAAAATAAAATATTCAGGTATGATATACTAGTCAAAGTCTACAGGACCTTGGGGCTGGTGATTATAAAACACATCACTTTATGGTTGTATTATTCATGTGTTGTATTTCCTGCTCCGAGTCTTGTAGCAAATGAACTCTTATTTGAACACTTTTAATTATTAGATCTCGTTCATAAAAGTTGAAGACGTTGATACAATGCAATCTTATGTTTTTGGCAAGTTGATGTGGAGGTTTTTGACTGACAATTCTCACCTGAATGACTGCAGTGCCTAAGACATACGTGTGTTATGGTGTGGCCTCATTATAGTTTGAGGAGGAGGAATTAAGCATTATTGTCGTGGGCTTAAATTTGCAAACATACGAAAAACCAATTGCAACACGTATATGTATTATCATGCAAAAGATATCAGATGGAAGTTAATGTTTATACGAGACACTTTCTCCGTGCTGCCATTTCATCGTGGATTATCACATTGTGTACGTTATTTCCTCGATAATGTAGCACAAAAGCTCCTCAACGTACAGGAAAACTCTCGTATTAACTGAACCAACCAATACACACAGTACAGTACTAAGATCTGCTTTACGTAGAAACTAACAGAGGTGATATGAGGCACTTAGGGTAAACAGGTGGCAAATCAACCAACATACACCAAACTGATGCAAACATAATATAGACAAAGTACACTAAATTCCCTATTGTTTGAGACTAGTTTAGTTCACACACAATCTAATGTCCGCATAACACAAGCGCTCACATCTCAAAACATGACTTTGGTTGCTTTGCCCGTCTTACTCACATGGCCTCACATAAGCTCGACTCAGTACACAGGTGCATAAAGTACGACAGTAAACAGACCAAGACAAAGGTGAAACAAAAATCCAGATTAAAAAGTGTACCGTGAACTGCCGAGGGAGCAGACACTACATACAGTGCACGTACAACAGAAAAACCAAAACGGTTACAAATTAATAATCATAAAATCAAATCATAAGTAAAATAAATTAGGTGAGTGCTCAGACAATGTTTACATAGCATGCTGAAATAAAAGCTCATAATATTATTCTGCAAGGAAAAAGTGTACAAGGCAGAGGTTCCTTTCAACTGACTCGTGTCACTAAACCCTGACCATTCATTTATGTTTTGTAATGTCTTTCTTACTTAAGATTATTTTCTTGCATTTTCTCCAATATTAAACCAATGTCTGTGGTTTTCACTCTCGACGTCAATACACGGGACTGTATGTATTGTACGTACTAATGTTACCCACCTCAACAGTTCTGTATAGCATTGTTTCTCACACATCTAAACTCTCAAGGCTGTGTATGATACATTTCTATGGTTGGGAAATTTATATAATGGTTTTAAATACTGTGTAATCATCCTTACTCCTCTATAATGCTCCCACCATTGCTCTCCTATAATTTTACAAAGCAATGAAAGTTTAAGAACTCCAAAAAAATAGTTCACAAACTCCCTGCAAGTGCTTCACTAAGTTACAGCCATAATTGGTGACTAATCTACCTGGATATCACCCCTATAAAAGCTGAACACTACTAACAAAGTTGAAATATTTTATTTTATTTTAATCGGAGAAGAATCACGCCTTCATATAACAACAGCAGTCAGTATCTTGCAACACACAAACCATAACAGAATTCAGATCAGTTATGCCTGAGCCCGAGTCTTCATTATAACTCAAATCACATCTAACACTAAAATAAAACATCTGGTTCTTTTACATCAGTCAGCTCTATGTCTATTAACCCACACCAGAAAACCAACTCACACACACTTGGAAAGCTTTTTGTCGGTCTACCACCCAGCCCATACCGAGGCATCCTAAGACCACAGCCCCATCATCCCTCCATTAAATTTGCCCTCAGGATGTCCCTCGTATCTCTCGCCTACCTGTCATGAACAAGAGATGACACGGTAACTTCTACAGGTCAGTCAAACTCCAATCCTTCATCAATTTTCTGGGATATTCTTATTCATCCTTCAGTTTAACTTCATGTGAAAACCTAGATCATATTAATGGTCTACCTTTTAATAACCACGATGTTTTATTACAGTTCTATTACACTATTGCCTATAATTATCACAAATATTTTCCATAGTGTTGAATCTTTTAAATACAGAAGTAACAGAGATTAAGTCTTAAGTAATCAGTCTTTAAGTTCAGGACGTCTCATTATCTTATCTATGATGCTTCACTCCTTTAATCAGATGTTGCTCCTCTCTCTCAGCACGATGGATGACCCTCTTAGTCCACCCCAACATTACCTAACTTGTATTTATTTTTATCTTCTAAATTCCTCCCATCCCCTTCCTACTTTATTCCTCGATGGACTGCTTCCACACGTCCCTAAATATCAGCGAGACTTAATTCTTATACATTTTTGCTTGCTTAAGATCACCCGAAACCTCCCGTCTCCCTGTCTCTTTCAGTCGAGTTATTTCTTTTCAGGAAAATGACATTACAGTACATAAATAAGAACTATGACGTATACTCTGCTACGTGATCTGAGAATGTGCGTCAGTCAAGTGAAATGAGTCGAGTTCGTTTTAAATTTCATCGTCAAATCCACAATAGTCTAATGTAATGAAAACAACTCTGGCCTTGTAATATTTTTCCTGTATAAGTTAGAAGAGTGAAAATTAGTAGAGCAGAATTATAACAAACTACAGTATTATCAGCCTTTAAGTATGTGTACATTAAGGGTAAAACTTGAAGTTCATTTGATGGATTATCTTGTTTATACAGTAAATAACATCCTGACCAGCATCTTAATCTATACATGTTATTTATACATCAATATACCAGAGGGAAAATAAACAGTTCATTATAATTCTGCTCCTTATGCGTGAAGGTGAGAAAATAAGTGACCGCGACCCAGGCACATGCTTCCTGCCAGCTACTACCCGTGCGTTGTGCTGCCACCGCTTGCAAAAAGAATTTCACTGCGGAATCTGTACCTGGACGGTGAGCCACGCAAAGACCTTCTGACCCACGAATTCCTGCGACTAAAATTACTAGGGGGTAGAGAGTGTGGGGGGCTCCTGATGCTGCCGTCAAGATCATCACTGTTGCGGGGTGAAAGATTAACATTTTAACACGAAAGTAATTAAATCAAACTAATAATAATGACAACAGAAAATTAAACACCATACATTCTTAAAAATATTGTTGGGTATCGTTCAATTCCAGCTGCAAGAAATAAAACCCTTAAAATATTGCAAATTCTATATAATAACTCTTTAAATATCTTCCCATACAGTACAGTACTTACCTCAACAAAAATAATTCTGGTTTACCGAGAAAAACCTGCAAATCAAGAAGTCCTTTTGAACTAGTGTCACTATAGTAAAGTTCTAAGTTAATGTAATCGACCCATAGTGAGGAGGAAATTAAAAAAATACAAAATAAATTTAATATTAACTTCCAAAAACATTCTTGTACGATAACATATGCCAAAAATTATTGCACATAATTCTACATATTGTTATACTTGTACCTGTTGCTGACAAACTTAAGTCCTAATAATATATACCATAAATAACCAATTACCTGTATAAGAGAGTAGTACATACGCCTTATCTTAAGACTGTTTTTATGGCCGTACACATTACAATAACATAAATCACAAACAAATCAACTCTTTTTAGAATCATTACAAATATCAATCACTACCAATCTACCCAGAATCTAATATATATTTACTACACAAAATACACATATTAATTTAAAAACCTTAACACACTCAAAATAAATTGTTTTTTTAAGTAGAATACAGTATGAATAAAACTCATTCTTATAAATGGAAAATATCATAAGAAACACAAGGCACTTTATCAGAGGACACAGGAAGGCCCCTCGACCACCTTACCCCATCCTGGCCGAGTCAGAGTCACATTCTATGTCGTCAGCCTCTCCGTAACACTCGAAGTTCTCCTCCTCACGGTCGCTCATACTCGAACACCCACTGTAAAATGTCCATCAGTTAATAATGACATTATGTAATGATAATGATGATAATGAATGATGGTGATAATGATGGTGATGATAATGGTGACTAAGACACCAGCTAGTAATAATTACGTACAACAGTTTTGTTACTCAAGTTAGTTTAATCAATTCAATATACTGTACAGTACAGCATACATTTTCCTCACTATATAACCAAACTGCCTACTACCACTGTTACACTTTATGCAACTGTCGTAATTTGATTTAACGATTCATTTTGCCTAATTCATAACACCCTTATAACCTGTGCCTGTATGTCAAAACAATATACTGAAGAAATGGAAATGCCATGAGGGATAAATTGATAATAATGTTTAAGAATGAAGAAGAATGGTTACAAGAAGACAATGGGATAAAAAAAGTGAATAAGTAATTATAGGAAATGAAATTCAACTTAAGGGGAACTAACCTGAACATAATAAAGAAAATGGGAATAATATGTTAAAGAAAATGGAACTCGGGTATGGAGAGGGGGGGGGGTGGACTCACCTGTGTGTCTTCCTGGTGGAGTCCGGGGAGGTGGTGCTGCCTCCTAGCGCAGAGTCGAGGTCAGTGAGGGATGAGGGTGACCCACGGTCGTCGCCGGGCATCCTCTCCACACCCAGAGATATAGGACTAGCAGATGACGCTTCCAGGTAACCGTACTTCCTGCGGCGGCCAGAACCAACTGACTCCTGCGGGATAATGACACCAGTTAGGGTATGAAGTGGTGGTGTAGGAGCTAAAGTAGCATCCCATCAGGTAATAATGTATTGAACAAAATCATACCATGAAAACAATGAACTGGAGAGAATCCTAAAAACAACAATAAAAATAATAATACGGTAACTGAAGACATTAACAATAACTACAATAAAAGTAATAATGATAATAACAATCATCTCTTCCTTGGCTCCGTTACAGGAAGAGCCAAGATGACTGGATGCCAAAAGTCGTGCCCAACTCAACCCCCACTCTGACCTGCCAGGGACGAAGGTCACATACCCCTCCCTTTGAGGTCACAACTACCCCCATCCCACAAGATACAATCAAGTGCTTATACAGAAACACCTTTCCCTGTTAGATTAGGTTAGCTCATGTTAGATTAAGTTATGATAGGCTGAATTAGATAAGGCTATGTTATGTTGGGCCAGGTTAGGTTCGATCAGGTTAGGATGGGCCAGGTTTGGTTAGATCAGGTTAGGTTAAGTCTGATTAAGATAGATTATGTTATGTTTGATTAGGTAAAGTTACTTATGTGAGAGAGAGAGAGAGAGAGAGAGAGAGAGAGAGAGAGATGTACTGTAGTACCATGAGTAGAGTGACATTTAGTGTGGCCTGGCCAGCTCACCCAATAATTCAACAATGCCACAGCTCGTAACACTCAGCCCGGGTGTGTCATAAGCTTAGATGGCACTAAATCTGGTGTGTCATAAGTTGAGATGCAATAACCTAGCGTCACAAGTAAAAATTCAACCTGTAGTGTCATAACCAAAAAAATGACACTAAATATGAGGTGTCACGAGCAGATGACACCAAACCTGACTGTCATGAGTAAGATACAAAAACCTGGGTGTCATGAATGTAGTTGCAGGGCCCAGGAGTCCCAGCGGGAGATCCTACAACAGTTGCACATCCTGACCCAGAGACCAGCCCTCCTCTTACCTTGGATTATAGACGAGTGAAGCAGGTCTGTGACTGGCTGACTGGAGAAGTGAGTGTGTGAGTGACTGGAGGAGTGAGTGAGGAATTGACTGGCTGATCTGGAGGCGTGAGTGACTGGAGGAGTATGTGTGAGTGACTGAATGATTGGAAGTGAGCGAGGAATTGATTGACTGACTGACTGACTGATTGGAGGAGTGAGTGACTGGATGGATGATTGCAGTAGGGAGGGACTGGCGGATTGGCTGACTGAACTGAGTGACAAACTGAACTGACCGACTAACTGGAGGAGGTTCGTGAAAAGCGCGCGCGCGCTCTCTCTCTCTCTCTCTCTCTCTCTCTCTCTCTCTCTCTCTAAATAACCATAACACCAGTTTCATTAACACACTGACTAACAATTTACGACACAAATAGCCAACAAGGGAGAGAGTAGAGGGATGGAGGAAGGGGAGCAGGAGGGAAGGGGAGAGTGGAGGGAAGGGAGCAGGAGGGAAGGGAGCAGGAGGGAAGGGGAGAGTGGAGGGAAGGGGAGAGACGGAGGGAAGGGGAGAGTGGAGGGAAGGGGAGAGGGAGGAAGGGGAGAGTGGAAGAAGGGAGAGTGGAGGGAAGGGGAGGGGGAAGGGGAGAGTGGAGGGAAGGGAGAGGAGGGAAGGGAGAGGGAGGGAAGGGAGCAGGAGGGAAGGGGAGAGGGAGGGGGGGAGGAGGGAAGGGAGAGGAGGGAAAGGAGAGGGGGAGAAGGAGGGAAATGAAGGGGATGAGAGAAGGAAGGAGGAGGAAGAGAGGGAGGAGAGACGGAGAAAGGATGGAGAGAGAGGGGGATGAGAAGGAGAGGTGGTGAAAGCGAGAGTAACAGCTAAGCCCTACACCAAGGTAATCCACGCAGTGTTATTAACCAGACCACATTCTCTAAATACCCGCCACTAGCTACAGTCTCTGGCTCATTCTGACGCCATTATCGTTCAGGTTAAAAAGTGGGTCAGTTTAACACCGATATGTTAACACGAGAGGAATTTAACTTAGGGGTTTTGTTTAGGGTTCAGTGGTATTGTGTGGGTTTCGGGGTGAATGTCTGTCTGTCTGTCTGTCTGTCTGTCTGTGTTGTAATGTACATACAGGTAGTGATGATGGTGATGGTGGTGGTGCTGATGGTGGTGGTGATGATGGTGGTGGTGATGGTGGTGATGAAAGGCTATACGAGACTTGCTTAATATATTGTCTCTGTCTCTCGGCTTAATACATTACATACTGATGAATGACGCAGTCAACTTAACTTTCACCCTCACGGTAAGTCCCTTGAGAGAGAGAGAGAGAGAGAGAGAGAGAGAGAGAGAGAGAGAGATTATTAGTAATCGTTTAAAATCTGTCTAACTGTTGACTGGGGAGGAATAACAGTTAAGACCCTCTGGTGTTTTCCAAGTGTTACAGATGACTGGTCCAGCAAGTGACTGTCTGATGCCTCCCCCTCTCTAACACTTTCTCATCTCGTTCACTACACCTGACCAGTCTACCGACCTGTTCACACATCTTCAGGCTAATTACCTCGTAGCATTCCACACGCAGGTAGAAATTGCCTCTCTCTAACAGTCATGCAGTCACTCCACTGAGACCACACACACACACAAGACAAAATACATACATATATACATACATAGAATCTTCCAGTTCCAGCCACCCCCCCAATAATACACACACTCAGGTCTGGTGAGAATAAAGAGTCTTGCTTTTTAAAAAAATAATAAAATAAAATAAATAAAAACCATTCTTAATTAAGTACAATGTTTGTCCATGAATCTACAGTACACAGTGCCTCCGGTAGTTCCCGCTCAAATTGACTTAGTGGCAACGCTTCCTTACATAAACTATACCTCCTACTGTTGTTATTATTAGATATTATTGTTTGTTGTTGTTCTGTTTTAGTTGTTTTTGTTGCTATTATTGTTACTTGTTGTTGATCTTGTTGTTACTTTCAGACTTTTCCCATTTAATTTCCCGATTTCGTGAGGGTACAGGTGACCACAGATTGCCCTCCCCTTCCCCGGGTACAGGTGACCACAGATTGCCCTCCCCTTCCCCGGGTACAGGTGACCACAGATTGCCCTCCCCTTCCCCGGGTACAGGTGACCACAGATTGCCCTCCCCTTCCCCGGGTACAGGTGACCACAGACCTCCCCTCCCCCGGCACAGGTGACCACAGATTGCCCTCCCTTCCCCGGGCAAGTGCCACAGATTGCCCTCCTCCCAGGTACAGGTGACCTGACAGATTGCCCCTCCCTTCCCCGGCACAGGTGACCACAGATTGCCCTCCCTCCCCCAGGTACAGGTGATCTTAATTCCTCCTCCTCAGACTGTACTAACACAAGTCTTCCCTCTACCCCCCTGATCTACTGCAGTCATCACACGCTTTTCACACAAGCACGCAAGTTGCTGTTCGGGGAGGGGAAGGGGGGGGGTGGGAAGGAGGGAGGGGGGGAAGGAGGGGAGGGGGGGAAGGAGGGGGGTGGGAGGAGGGAGGGAGGGGAGGGAGGGAGGGGAGGGAGGGAGGGGTGGGAGGGAGGGAGGGAGGGGAGGGAGGGGTGGAGGGAGGGAGGGGTGGGAAGGAGGGAAGGAGGAGGAGGGAGGGGGGAGGAAGGAGGAGGTGGGAAGGAGGGAGGGGGAAGGAGGGGGTGGGAGGGAGGAGGGAGGGAGAGGAGGAATAATAGGCTCGTCTTTACTCCTTGAAGGGAGAGGGATGAGGGTGAGAGAAGAGAAGTTAGGAGACAGGAGAAGAGAGGAAACGAGGAGACAGGGAAAGGGGGGAGAGAAGGAAGGGGGGAGAGAAGGAAGGGGGAGAGAAGGAAGAGGGAAGAGAAGGGGGGGAGAGAACTTTCGTCTTAGGGAAAACCTCTCCACACGCACGCACGCACACGCACAAAATAACCACTGAGACTCTACCTTCACTATACCTGTGTGAGACTCTACCTATTAGAGACTACCTGTGTTAAGACTACCTGTATCACTGACCTGCTGCTGGCCGGTCGATCACCCTCCCCCCAACCTCACCTTCCCTTCAACCCCTCATTGATTACATGTCCCCCTCACCCCTCTTCTCCCCCTCCCCTTCTCATTTTTAACCCTCTGTCCCCCCCACCTCACCCCTCCCATCCCCATTACCCCCCACCACGCCACCTTCCCCTCAACCCCCTCCCAGTTTCACCTCCGAGGGGACAGTCAACCAGCAGTGAGGGGAGGACACCGTTACCCTCATTACGCAACCAATTGAGGTCACGTGAGTAGGGCGGTCAGTGTGTGTGTGTGTGTGTGTGTACCAACAGTCTAACAGTTACAAGTGCTAGTTCAAATGTCATGGAGAGAGTTACCAGTTACTTGAGGTGTGGTAAAAACAGTTATATTGCCAGTTAGTTGAGCCAGGATAGATATAGTCACAGGACCAGTTATACAAGATCCAGTTACCTGACAGTCTCGTATGAAAAAAAAAAACTGGATAATAAAGACTACTGTACACCAGTTCTCTCACCAGGAAGACAGTTAGTCAAAACAGTCAAGTTCTCCTCGTACCTCACCTCCCCCTTACTCCCCTTCCTTCACCTCACCTCCCTCCCTCCCCTACTCCCCTTCCTTCACCTCTCCTCCGTGTTTCTTCAATCCCTTACCAATCTTCTTCCTCATTCCTCCTCTTCCCTTTCTTCCTCTTTTCTCCCCGCCCTTCCTCATCCCTCCCTTCTCCTCCTCTTCCCTCACCTCTCCTCCCCACCCACTGTCACCACTACTCACCACCACCCCTCGCCACCACCCAAGTGACGGCTGCTGGACACAAGGTCACCATAACGGGCCCTATACTCACCCACGCCCACCCACACCTGCCCATACCTGTCCACACCCACTGGCAACACTGTTATTACTGACACAAGCTCCCACACTTACCACAGTCACGCCTACACACGCTGCACCATTACCACCACACCATAACTTACTATACCTCGCCACCCCCACACCACTTTAACCTACTACCACATTACCACCATCCACTACTACAACCACCACCACACTACATCACCACCACACTACATCATCACCACTACACCACACACCACCCCCCAAACTACATCACCACCACACCACAGAAACAAGACGTCCTCGCCAGGTTCACCACAAAAACTTGCCCAGGTGAACAACTTCGCCCTCACCTCACCTGGTCACCTTCCTAGTCTTCCTCAACCTCATTAATACAGGTAAGACGTGGCTCATATTCCACACCCCACACAGGTAACCTACAACAACAATAATAATAAAAACAATAATAACAAAAAACAATAATAATAACAGCAATATTCTAATAACAATAAGAATATACTACAACAATAAATAATAAACAATAATAAAATAATAATAATCAACAATATATTTACAACAAATAAAACATACCAAGCAAACATCAAATCAGCTGACAATAGAACATCGCCTCAGGATATCTACAAACATTCCTACATAACACAACCACCCTACGGTCAACACCTCCTACTACAGCATCCTACGGTCAACACCTACTACAGCATCCTACGGTCAACACCTCCTACTACAGCATCTACGGTCAACACCTCCTACTACAGCATCCTACGGTCAACACCTCCTACTACAGCATCCTACAGTCAACACCTCCTACAGCATCCTACGGTCAACACCTCCTACAGCATCCTACGGTCAACACCTCCTACAGCATCTACGGCATCTACGGTCAGCACACACCTACAGCATCCTACGGTCAACACCTCCTACAGCATCCTACGGTCCAACACCTCCACAGCATCCTACGGTCAACACCTCCTACAGCATCCTACGGTCAACACCTCCTACAGCATCCTATCCTTGGTCAGCACCTCCTACAGCATCCTACGGTCAAACTCGTTAATTGGTGTGACGGACGGACGGACACGCACGGACCAACAGGTTAGATATGAAAATACCTGACCTTGTGTATACCCAGCGGCAGGGGGTAAGGGGGAGGAGGATGAAGGAATCGGGGAGGATGGGGAAGGAGGAGGATGGGGAGGGGGAAGGGGGCTGAAGATTTATTTTGTTGGAATGAAGTGTCATTTGTGTTGTGGGCGGAGGACCCACCCCCTCCCCCCACCCATGACTGGACAATGACAGACATGTGCCTTAGTCATTGTAATGGCAATTAACATGTAACGTCACAATAACACAACCGTACCATACAAAAATATCATACAGCATTTCGTTACAGCTGTCATTCATCACCGCGTTTAGTGAAAGTACAGTACACAGATTTGGTTAAAAGTTACAGATACAGTTACTTAGTACAGTATAATGGTTCTAAGTTCACAGATTTAGCTATAAACTACAGGTACAGTAATCGTCAATGTAAACGAGTGACCAAACGAAGTCAGTCAGCTGATGGCGCAACTTAAAGGAACAAAAACAAAACACAATCAGACGCTCAGTGTTTCATGCAAACCTTCGTCTCTTCCGCCTGTTGTTGACATTATCGTTGTTTTGGGGTCTATCAGCTGACCGTTGTTTCCCGCCAGTGTGTGTCTACCTGTACCTTCACACCTCTTATGTTTGTCTATACCTGTGATTGTAATTAGAGGTTCACTTGTCATTTCAACCTTTATTTGTATCACAGAGAGAGAGAGAGAGAGAGAGAGAGAGAGACAGAGAGAGAGAGAGACAGAGAGAGACAGAGACAGAGAGAGAGAGAGAGACTTCTTCAAACTAGTGACCAGACACCACTTCCTCTTCCATTCATCTCCTCTTCACTCCATAAAGAAGACCCCCCTCCCCCCCTTCATAATGGTACAATACCCTTCTCTCCTCTCCCCTGCCTCCATTTTTTGTAGGAGGGAAGAAGGGGTAGGAGAAGACGTGAACATTTCTCTCTCTTTCTATTATGCCCCCCTCTCTCTCTCTCTCTCCTCCTTTCCATTGTTTCTCTTTCACCCACTTATTTCTCCTCTTCTTCCACCTCCTTTGTCCCTCCCTCTCTCACCCCTCTTCCTCACCTCTCACCCCCTCTTCCCTCTCTCACCCCCTCTTCCTCACCTCTCACCCCCCTCTCCCTCACCTCTCACCAGTATCATGTGTCATCCTCTCAGCTCTGAAGATAATTATGTGAGGAACCCCCCCCCCCACATAATCAACCGCTAGTGACCTCTCCCACACCACCTGACCTCTGACCCCACCAGTAGCGAGGTCACCACTCAGCTCCCGTTATAATCACCGTACAATTACCTTCACTGGGTTATGTAATAATTGATGCACTCCATAATAATTATTGACCCCATCTAGAATAATCTCTTTCCGGCCATTGGTGATAAAGTTATTATTATCTTTAACAATAGTAGTAGTGTTATTATCACCGCCCTTCTTCCCTCTCCTCCACAACCCCATTGAATACGATAACAACAACAAAATGCCAAGTACCGTACCGCCAGTTATTCAAAAGATTTAATATACAGTAAAACAGAAAAAAACCCGGATAATTTCGAGTCATACAAACAAACTACTGAATCACCTTCGCTAATGACCACACCATCTCCACCAATGACGTCATCTGTTTGAATAATCGTCACCCTGAAGAATGTTATCACCCAAGAGGAGAAGTTTGTTGACAAAATCCGACACAGGAGTAATGGTGGTGACGTCTAGCGGTTTGATACTGATTTTAGTGAAGTTTAGCGAGTTTGAGTATTTTCCAGGTACTTCTTTCTCGTTACCCACCACTTGTGTTAGATCATCAGGTACTTGAACGTATTTACCTGACCAAACTTCTTACCTGGAGTACTTTGCCTGTGTAACTGTAAAGTTCTTTGACTCCAAGCCTGACGACAACACACGGTCAAGGAACACAGGAACACGGAAACACACACACACACACACACACACACACACACACAGACCGACCACAAACGTAGGTAAACACTGGGGGATGGGAGTGGAGAGGGGGAGAGGGTGTGTATTGGGGTGGGGAAGGATGTGGAGAGGGAGGAGGGGGAGGAGGAGGGGAGGCGAGAAGGAGTGGGGGGAGGGGAGAGTGGGGAGGGGGTTGCAGCGGACGTCTTCGCCTCACAGTTGTCTCAATAAAAAAAAACATTACATTTGTTACGGGTACGTTCCTCCCTTACGTTCGCGCTACGTAACGGAACGGCTCCTTGTTACCTGGGAGGGGTTAGGTTACGGTGGTATGGGTAGGTTAGGTTAGTTTAAGGTGGGTTAAGAATTAGGGTGGTTAAGCTTTAGGAGAAATAAGCTGGGGTGTATATTCTTCAGGTGATCCAACCTTGTATATGGTGTCGTAAAAATAGTGTTTCCTGGTGATAGTGACTCAATTTTGTGACGGTGATAGTGAAGGCGATGGTGACGAGGATAGTGACAACTGGAACGAGACAGTGAAGATGAAGAAACTGGAGTGATTGTGGTGACAGTGAGTGACTATCATAAGCCAACCAAGGAGGAGGAGCGTGTTGACAGCAGCTTGCTACCACAACCACCAACACGCTACCACAACTACCAACACGCTACCACAACTACCAACACGTCTGCCACAATCACCAACGTCAACACCACAATTACCAACACGCTACCACAACTACCAACACGTCTGCCACAATCACCAACGTCAACACCACAATTACCACAACCACCAACACGCTACCACAACTACCAACACGCTACCACAACTACCAACACGTCTGCCACAATCACCAACGTCAACACCACAATTACCACATACCGCACGCTACCACAACTACCAACACGTCTGCCACAATCACCAACGTCAACACCACAATTACCACAACCACCAACACGCTACCACAACTACCAACACGTCTGCCACAATCACCAACGTCAACACCACAATTACCACAACCACCAACACGCTACCACAACTACCAACACGTCTGCCACAATCACCAACGTCAACACCACAATTACCACAACCACCAACACGCTACCACAACTACCAACACGTCTGCCACAATCACCAACGTCAACACCACAATTACCACACCCCCTCCACAAACACAACATCATGTGTCACCTACCTCACCTGTCATTACCATCTACGTAACACCTGTAATTACCTCAACACCTGTCAGCCGTCTCTTCACACTCACCTGAGGAAGAAAACAAAATATTAGAACAGGTATTATATAAACACGTTAACAATGACATGAACGTTAATAATAATAACAACAATAAACAACAACAATAAACAACAACAATAATAATAGTAATAATTATAATACAGTGCTACGCCATCCAGCACACACACACACCTTACCTTAGGACCCCCCAGAAACATGACCCAGAAATTATTATGACTCTCTATTAGTAAACAAAGACCACGTGGCTGATGTAAACATTATGAAACACGTCAATATTTAGTGGTTTAATTTATATATAGAGGGAGTAAAGAATCCCCTCAAGATTACACACATCGGCTCATCTCACCTGAAGATTAATCACCCAAACATTGCCTGGGGATTAGGTTAGGTTAGGCTATGTTAGCCTTTGACTAGATTAGTATTGGATTAGATTAAAGATATATTAGGTTAGATTAAAGTAATTTATTAATAGTTACATTAGATTACAGTAATTAGGTTGGTATTAGGTTAGCGTGTTAAGTTCCCAGGTAAAATAAGCTAGGATGGTTAATGTTCAGCTGGAAGGTAGCTCGACTAGCGTGAGGAGAAGAAGGTCAATAATGGGACCAACGTAACGCAGCGTTGAGAGATGGGTGCCAGGCCGGGTCAAGGGTGCAGCCGTGACCCACACACACAGTAATACATAGGTACAGTTACATTACATACACAGATACATATACATACATACAAAAAACGATACGCCAAAGTCAAGAAAAGTCGAAATGTCAAACAAGGTCAAGACACACAATCAAGGTCAACAAATAAACCTCTGGTCACACGACTTGAGAAATAAGGTCAGGTTAAAAAGGTCCCTGTTTCGCGCAACACTCCCCCCAAGGTAGGCATTTATGCGCTTAGGAGGTAGTTCGGGGGTGGGCGTCGTACTCAACCTGGGAAAGGAGGCGGCGAGGAAGGAAAGAGGAGGGGAGGGAAGGAAGGAAAGAGGAGGGGGGAGGAGGAGGTATCGATCTTCACCTGCTGGAGAGGAAGGATAATGACTACTGCAGGTGTATAATTATTCCCTCCTGCCTACCTCTTCCTCCCATTCTTCTTCTCCCCCTCCTCCTTATCTTCCCTCTCTCCTCCCCCTACGTGTGATACGCCCATCGCCTTCAGGTGTGGGATTACCAACGTTCTTCCATGTCCTAACACACTCTACCATGTCCTAACACACTCTACCATGTCCTAACACACTCTACCATGTCCTAACACACACTACCATGTCCTAACACACTCTACCATGTCCTAACACACTCTACCATGTCCTAACACACACTACCATGTCCTAACACACACTACCATGTCCTAACACACTCTACCATGTCCTAACAACACACTACCGAGGCTGACCCATGGAGTGTGGGGCAAGATATCGAGCGTCACTAAAACTGACAGTGGCAGACGGACGGACGGACAGACAGCATCAAGACTACTGTATATCCCTCCTATCTATCTATCTGTTTATCAATACTTACCTGACGATGTATGTATGTGACTGACTGACTGACTATCATCACTCCTCCCCCACTTCCGGATGTATGTGTGTGTGTGTGTGTGTGTGTCGTGGCAGAATGAACACAAAAAACTTATATAAGAAGAAGGAAGTGTTGAGTGAGAGCAGTGAAAGACAATGTAGAAAGTGACATGAAAGTCCTCCACACACACACACACACACACACACACACACAAAACACCACAACAACGAAGCAGCGTCAACACAGTATATAAACAACAATGAAATCCCACTGCAAGAGACGACAACACAGTGGAATTTCAAGCGTTATGATCTATGTGGTAGTATGTAATTTATTCAGTTATTCATAAGCAAAGTTCATGTCAAGGAAGATTTTTTTTTTCTTATTCTAAACCGTAAATTTGTTTTGTTTTCCCTCGGGTTTATTTTTAGCCTATCAGATCCAGTGACGTCATAGAGTGCGTCGACTCCTCCTCTTCCTCAAGCCAAGGATATGGATGGAGTGACGTCACGTGTTGTCGCGTCGTCTCATGATGATGTCTAGGATATGGCGACCTCCTTCTGACGTCACGTATATGGAGTCTCCGTTTGTCGTCAAGGATATAGGTAATTATATTGAGATTACCTAACAAACACGTATAATGAGTCTCCCTGTGGCGTCTAGGAAATAGGGAACTCCTCACATGAAAAACTGCTAGAACCACACACACACACACACACACGGTAAAATCCCCGCCAGACTCACACACAATAAATTCTCAGAAATTGTAGTTTATTCCCACGGTCGTATCCGGGTGCCAGAAGGGGGGGTAGAGGTGCCATGGGGGGTTAGAGGTGCCATGGGGGGGTTAGAGGTGCCATGGGGGAGAAGGTCAGAGGTGCCAAGGAGAGGGGGGGGTGGTGGTGGGATGCCATAAGAGGAGGAATACGAACAATTCTCTTTCAGTTCAGTTCTCAGTCCAGACATTCATAGAGCTAACTAATGCAGCCGAGACGAACTATGCGTGAGCCTAATTTTAGTGGGGTCACTCCCTCTGTTGTTGTGCCAAGAATTCCCTCCCACTCCCTCACACCACCTCTCCCATCCCTTAACCCTTTATCCTCCCATCTTACCCTTTTACCCTCCCCTTCACCCCCTCCCCCATCATTAGACAAAGACCATCCCCCACCATCACACACCCCAACTCCTCCCAACCATTAAATATATTGCTCTCAAACATGACAAAACTGGTAACTAGACAGACTGACATACATACACACATCTACTTCGTGTTTTCTTCTTTCCTTGTGGTTATCAGTATATATATATATATATATATATATATATATATATATATATATATATATATATATATATATATATATATATATATATATATATATATACTGTATATCCGTCCAGAACAGAAGTCAAGGTTAAACTGGCTGAGGGGGGAGGGGGAAGGAAAGGGGAGGGAAGTAGAAGAGGAAGGAAGGGTAGGAAGGAAGGGAAGGGAGGAGGAGAGGAAGTGAAGGGTAAATGCAACACTATAATGTATACGTGTGTGTGTGTCTGTGAATGACTCGGTTTCTGCTTCCCACTTCCGCCTGTCGTGCACATGTGTACATAATATATATCTGGCGGAAGGTTATATGGGCCATACCTTGTGGGCACGCATGTGTGCACGATCATACACACACACACATTCGTACTTCAGTAAATGTAACTGCGCATTTACACGAGAGAGAGGCACACAAAGTGAAAAGTCTTGTCGGCTCTGAAGATACAAAATCTCAATCACAAAAATTCAGTGAAGACCCAGCTGCCGCCACCACCACCACACCATTGTTACCACTACCACCACCGCTGTCACCATCACACCAACATTCTTACCACCACCACCACCAAACCACTATTGTTACCACTACCACCACTGCTGTCACCATCACACCACTGCCACCACCACACCACTATTGTTACCACACCACTAACCAATATCCCCCTACCACCACTACATCATTCTCTGGGGCGGGTAAGGTGACAGCTTACGACAAGAAGGGTCTATGTGTCACCTAAATTTAGACTAAAAAAAAATATGAAAAATTTTATACGCGACGCCATTTTCCGTGTCACCTAAATTGCGTCTGTCCCCTATAAAGCGTCCTTGTGTCACCTAAATTGCGTCCCTTTGTCCCCTAAATTGCGTCCCTAAGTCACCTAAACCGAGCCGCTGATTCACCTAAATTTTGTCAACATAGTGAAAGTGCCAATTCAATCAGGGCATCACCTCATTTATACGAACCCAACCTAACCTAACCCAACCCAACCTAACCCAACCTAACCTCCAGGTAACGTTAGCATATTCAATCAACAGGTAAAATAAGGCTGATATCAGGTAATCCCTCTGAAGCTTTAAATATAAGCCTGCCACCACCTGTAATCAACTCAGGTGAAGACACGACAGGTATAGGTGGTGCCCGTGTCATGGCTCAGATAACACACATATGTATACTTTATCGTTCATATATGATACATGTACTTATGAATACAGGTGGTGTGTGTGTGTGTGTGTGTGTGTGTGTGTGTGTCGTTTTTAATGTACAGTAAGGGAGAGGTCAAGTATGCCTCTGAATTTGATAAGGTATTGTTGTTTGTGTGTCTGTCTAGTTCCCTCCATGTCCAAAGACATGTGTGTGTGTGTGTGTGTGTAACACACACACACCAACAACCTGAAATCAATATCGTTTTTTTCATCATATTTACGGTTCTCTATAAGATACCCCCTCCCCGGAAAGGGTTAGCTGACTGCGTGTGCGTGTATGTGCGTTAGTGCGTGTGTGTACATTCTATGAAGCTCCGTGGCCTAAACATGCAATACCTGCCAGTACAGATATAGCAGTCAGCGACCTTACGCACACGCCTGAAACTCTCTCTCTCTCTCTCGTGTGTGTGTGTGTGTGTGTCACCACCGTGCTGACAACCATCAACATGTAGCCTAACATTCCCCCCCAATTTACCATACCCCCCCCCCCCCCTCCATTCCCTTACACCCACCACCTCCCTCCCTCAACCATTTCCACCCCTCCCCCTTATCATATCTCCCTAAAACATTAACCTCCACCCCTTACCCCCCCCCGCCCACACACCTGTATCACACACGCAAGAGAAAATCACATGTGTAGGAATGTCACGACTACAAACTGTTCTTGTTATGAACATTTATTAATTAGGTACAACGATGTGAACAAATTAAAGAACACTGAACAAAATATAAAGGACATTTCTTGATTTTTTTAACTACTAACTTATTAATGTATTTTAGGTTTAGTCATTATTATCATCTGTTATTTTGCACCGTTATCATCACCACAACTGCTCAGTATAAACACAGTGCAGTACATTCCACCAACAACAGTCACACACTTCCCAGGACGAACAAGCCCCACTTCTCGGAACAGCTATACAACCACCTGCCAAGGTTTCAATTCCTAGTATTCCTTAGAGTACGATGCCTTA